GTCTGAGACTATTTTCATGTTCAGCTCGCATGAAAATCTCAGAGTGACCGATTATAATTAGAAATAGTTATAAAAAATGTCAGTGTTCCACACCTTTAAGGAGTTGGTCATGTTTGTACTTTATTTTCAGCTGGAATCATGTAACCAACTCAGATAAACACAACTGTAAAATATCACAATTAACCAAAAATCTAGCCAGGAGTTGAGAATGTTGCCTCGACTTATTAGATATATCTGACTGGGTGGTTTGGGGGTCTGAATGGCCATTTTTCAGGATTTCTTATGATGAAATAATTTCATTCTGATATGTATATGGAAGCCGTTTTGATTATACAGGCATGACCACTCAATAAAGTCGGTATAGACCTTTTACAGTAGACATTGGTTTCAAAGAGTAGGGAGAGCACAGGTAAATTAAAATGGCTGCATTCCTTCAGAGAAAGTTCTGCTTGTAAGCAAATCTTTACAGACCCAGCTGGTTGCACAGCTGCAAGAGTGGAATGTAACCCTCCTTAATGCATCTGTGCCTTGCCTATCAGTCAGAATGTCTTCTAAAAAGACCAGCTAGACATTGATTCTCATTACAAGTGTCTATGAGATGTGGTCTGCAGAAGCAAATGTTCAGAGTGATCCTGGCAAGGAAAAGCACCAGTTAGGGCAACAGCATTTAGCCAAATTTATACTTCTCCGTCAGCATCAGGGTGGACACACGCAACGCCGTTATGCGTCACCGCAAGAGCCCTTGACCAGTTTGCAGAGGAAGACGAAGACAGGCCTCACATTTCAACTATCTGTCGAAAGCTTGTGAGTGATCAGGACACTGCTTCCTGTAAATTTGTCAACAGCACCGTCTTTGCTGCTTCAGAAATTATGAACACTTATTCACCCGTTTCTAAAGGGGTACAAAGATATGCAGCGAGCGTTTTATTCGTGGATGGAAAATATGAGAAACGTGGGTTTAGAGGTGCCGATTGCGTGGAGAGGAAGGAGGAACAAATTTGCTGGTGTTCAAAATTCTCTGAAATATATTAAAACAGTTACTGTGTTTACATGCAGCCAATAACATGTTCAAAACCCGGTTAATTGCAATAACTCGGTTCTGCTAAGCCATGTAAACACCTGCAAAAACCGGGTTATTACCCCTAGGGTAACCCTTTTCTCACCCGAATATTGGGTCATGTAAACTCGTATAAGTATAAATAATTAGGCTTAAGTCGAGAGGCCCAGACTTCCCTCTCCCCATCCACTAGGGCCAGCTCTTCCGGGGCAATCCCAAGGCGTTCCCTGGCCAACCAAGAAACACGGTCCCTCCAGCGTGTCCTGGGCATTCCTTTAGTTCTCTGGTTAGACCTGCCCAAAAAACCTCACCAGGGGTGCGTCCAGGAGGAATCTTAACCAGATGCCTGAGCCACCTCAACTGGCTCCTCTTGATGTGGAGTTTCCCAGCCTATCTCTAAAAAAGAGCCCTGACACCTTGCAGAGGAAACTCATTTTGGTCGCTTGTACCCGCGGTCTCGTTCTTTTGGTCACTACCCAAAGCTTGTGACCATAGGTGAGGGTAGGAACGTAGATCGACCGGTAAATCCAGAGCTTTGCCTTCTGGCTCAGCTCTCTCTACACCATGACAGACCGGTACAACGCCCGCATCACACCTTCATTTGGGACAGGACCTCATCCCTGACCCAGAGAAGGCATTCTACTCTTTTCCGACTCAAGAACATGGTCTCGGATTAAAAAATGTTGCTTCTCAACCCGTCTGCGTCACACAGCTGCAAACTGCTACAGCAAAAGCCGGAGATCACGTTTTGATGAAGCCAACAGGACCACATCTTTTACAAAAATCAGAGACTCTGTCCTCAGACCACTGAAACAGATCCCCTAAACACCTTCGCTGTTTCTAGAAATTCTGTCCATAGAAGTTATGAACAGAATCTGTAAAACATAACAGAGAAATTATCTTTTATATAGCGCCTCTCAAATCACGAGAAGCTTCACAAAAAAAAATGTAAATATGGATGAGATTTTTTTTTAATGATTAACTCATTCACTGCCAGCCATTTCCTGATCGGTAAAGCCCTTTGTTGCCAGCGTTTCTCACCATTTTCACCATTTTTTTTAAAGAGTCACAGAACGCCAAAACAAAGCGGAGACTCACCTCTTACATCAGGAAGAATCCACGCATTTCGAGCTTTATCCATCCTTTCATAATCCGTTGTTGAATTGTGATCGGCAGAAGCTTTTCCGGTTCGCGCCTCACTTTTTTTTTACAGCAGCGGCCCAAAACGATCTCCCAACACATACATTTTCTGCTTCCTGATCATGTGACGTGTGACATATGCGGATAAAGATCAGCTTCAGAGCTGAGATGTTTGTTCCCACAGTGCGGGGGCTCGTTCCGATGCCCACACAATAAAAGAATGCAAGTGAATGAGTTAAAATTTTCTTTAACATCAGAAAACATGGAAAAAAACGTGATTAAAAATGTAAGGAAAGGAGGGGAAATGAATATGAATGAGGGAAATCACTCAGTGGATCTTAGAAAGGCAGATTAAGAAGAGCAGAATAAGGAGATGATGATGAAGGTCACACCAAAGCCAGCCTGAACAAGTGAGTTTTCAGCTGCTTTTTAAAGGAGACCACTGAGTCCACTGATCTCAGGCTTAGGGCGAGAGAGGTCCAGAGTCTGGGGGCCACAGCAGCAGATGATCTGTCACCTTTGGTCTTTAGCCTGGTGCTGCACAACCAGTAGGTGACAGGGAGTGTGTCTTCTGAAAAGGGCTACTAAGCAACAAATGTATTAAAGAAAGCAGGCTAGCTGTGTGAATGGTTTAATAGATTAAGCTGTGTAACTGCCACATCATGAAAGCATGCAGAATTTGTGAATGTCTTGGTTTGATTCGGTAAATAATTTATTTTACAGGTTTGGGTCTTGTGATTTAATAAAGTTTCACTTTTACTTTGGTGTTGAGCACTGAATGAAAACATAAAAAAAAGAGTACAAAGGTCAAATTAAATGCTGTAAATGAGTGATTTGTCTGTGATTCAGTCTTTCAATTTAGTTTTTCAGAAGTAAAACCCAAACCAGTTTGTTGTAGTTGCCCCACTGATCCTGCTCCATGGTAACGGCCCCAGGGGTAACCTCTGACTGAAAGCACAGATGTTTCCACTGTGTTTATCTCTAATGTGTGTTTTTATACTTTTCCACATTGCTTAGACATGCTTGCCAAAGATTTATTAGCATTACTGTGGTGCACGTGTTTGACATCTGTCACATCACATGGAGCTGACGGTGCAGTAGTAGTTGTCTTCTTCCTGTGGCTCTGTTACAGACTGTTACTGTCACCACAGGAACGGCTCTTTACTCTTACAGCTGTATAAACCTTGATTTACATATTTAACTGTTAAGACTTCTATTTAATGTAAAGCGCTGTACAAACTAGTCTGTCACCTTTATCAGAAAGGCATGGCAGTGGTTTATCTTACGATCCCCTGTCAGTCTTTACAGAGCCTTATTCTGATTCTTATTTCTACTCCTCCTGAATTTCCACAATTAAGATGAGTCATTTGGACGTCAGGAGCCTTAATAAGCAGTAACGGCACCCGCACTTTTCCTGCTGACAAAGCTCTCAGGCAGCTCTTCAGGTTGGTGGTGTTGTGAAGCAGGGCATTAAGGAGGCTTTCTGTATTTAGCTATGTTTTGTCTTGTCCTTCAGTTCCTCCTCTCCCCAGCAGCTGCTGCTGCCTCCATCCTCTTGTCTCTCCTCCACCTGAAAGCCAAGTGGAGCCGTGTGAATGTCTTGTTTCCTCGTACGCTCTCCTTGTTCTAGAAGTGCTGGATTGTTGCTCCTGGTTACAGCCAGTCAGGCCGTGTCTGGTTACCTCACCTTGCAGCGTCACTTTGTTGTATTGTTAACCCTTTGAGCAGGGAGGAGGGTGGAGAACCGACACGGGGCCCACTCTGTTTACTCAGAAATCCCTGTAGGTTTCATCGGGGAGTGATCTGGAGTCTGTTTTTGCACCTGCTCCGTGTTTCCCTGGAGCTAACCTCAGCCTAATCGTCTGAGCAGACCGTGGTTGCCCTGATGGATCATGGACTTTGATCTTTTCATGTTCATGATACCATAGGTGTTGCCCACTGAAGGCAGGAGGAGTCAACTCCTGCAGACACGGGTGTCAACGATGAAGAGGAAATCTGTGTTGTCTTGTTTGATTGATTGTATTCAGACATGAATGTGTTGTATTGTAACAGACATATAATGTGTTAATGATTTATTTATTAGAGCCAACTCTCTGGGCACACCAGCTGTGCTAAAGAAAACACTTAGCACTTTCAGCTGCAGCGTAGAACACAAGATTTAGACAACAAAATAGGTTGCATATGTTATTTATTTTTTGTTTGTTTTTACTGTCCTGTTGCATCCTCTATGATCACCTGAGCCACCCATTTTTTTCTGGCTTCCTCTGCCAGGCTGCTTATCCAGCGGTGTGCTGTGGTGCGAAGGCCTTGTGTGTTCCTGCAGCCTGGGCTCAGAGCACGCTGTGCTCAGCAGGCTAATGAGAGCATTCCTAATGAGCAGGTCCAGCTGGATTCATACATCATCCCGCGCTGCCAAGCTGCGACTGGATTTACACACCTATGACTAATGGGCTTGCATTTGAACTTGTTGGAGGCCTTTGCTTTTTTTTTTTAAACCTCACTAAAGAGCCAGTGTTGAACTTAATTTGTTTAATTAATTACCTGACATGAGACATTACTGGATGTGTAAGGCAGATCTGTGATAAACCATCTGTACCTGGGGTCATTAATCAGCTTAAGGATTGGCCCAACCCTCTTTCTATTCACCCCGGCTTGCTGCTGAGCTAACTCGAGCTCTGATCTCGCATCGTTTTCCAGTAAAGCAGGAGCTTTAAACGTGCATCGGTGAAGAATTTGCATGTAAACGCCCACATTTTTGGGTGATTTTTGACGTGTTTTTTTTTCCCTCCCTTTCTCCCAACAGAGTACAGTCGCTTTGAGTCAAAGATCCACGACCTGAGGGAGCAGATGATGAACAGCAGCATGAGCTCAGGGTCGGGCTCCCTGCGCACTAGTGAGAAGCGCTCCCTCTATGTCAGGTAAAGCTTTGTGTGCAGGAACCTACATACATCAACCTCTTAAGATCTGCTGGTAAAACAACCACGCGTGGCATAACAACCTTCAGCCTGTCTGTGGGGGAGAAAGAAGCCCAAGTGCATGTTTTTCTAAAACCAGCCACACACACAGGAGAGCTTGATGTATTCTGTGCTGTTTGGGACATTGTTTTGACACCGTTCATCATGTAAAAGCTCAACAGATATTATGTGTTGTTTTGCCGCCTGGCGTGACATTGTCTTGACTTTGCTCAGTGCAGATTGGCAGAGGGGGCTTGTGGAGGTGACTTGTTATGAGGCTTTAGGCCACTTGCCAAACTGGATTGAGGTTCATTTAGAAATTAAAACAGGTGGCAACCCCCTGCTAACGCAGACACAGCATTACAGTGGAGGCTCAAGGTGAAAGGACTGCATGATGTAACTTTCATAGTCATAGTGCTTTCCTGCGTTCCACTTCCTCTCTGCTCAAAACAACTTTCTAGATTGAGTAGAATTGCAGAGTTGTAAAAATACCTAGGTGTTATGCTGTGCAGGGTATCCGCGGGTCCTTAAAAAGTCTTAAATTTGCTTTTCCAAATTTAAGGCCTTAAAAATCCTTAAAAATGACAAATCATAATAATAGTAACGCATTGAACTTATATAGCGCTTTTCCAGACACCCAAAGACGCTTTCACACACTCTCACATTCACACACTGCTAGTGATGGTAAGCTACTTGTAGCCACAGCCGCCCTGGGGAGGTCTGACAGAGGCGAGGCTGCCATTTGGCGCCGTCGGCCCCTCTGACCACCACTAACACAGGCAAGTTGGATGAAGTGGCTTGCCCAAGGACACAACAGCAGGATACCCCTGGCGGGAGCTGGAATCGAACCCATGACCGTCCGATCATGAGGCAACCCGCTCTACCACCTGAGCTACTGCTGCCCCCAAATAATCCTTAAATAGAGTTTCCGAAGGTCTTAAATAACCAAAGACCCAATAAACAAGATTATTTTATTTCTATAAAAATTTAGTGAATTTCTAGTTAATGTTCAGCATTTTTTGTGTACGATCTTGGCGTAAGCGGAACAATACACATTCAGTTGGTTGTGAAAGGAGGCTATTTTTAGATGAGCACATTAGCTGGTTAAGCTAGCGGGAGCTTGCACCATGGGGCAGTGCAAGTTTAATGGTAACTGGATGGCTAATCCCACGTTGGCAACGTGGTTAGCACCGGTTCCAGGCAATAGCTGGAAATTATAGCTTAAATGTAATTTAAAATATTGCTTAAATTTGGTCAAAGTGGCCTTAAAAAAGGTCTTTAAAAGTCTTAAATCTGGCTCCCTTAAACCTGCAGATACCCTGGCTGTGGTGTTGGAGACCTGTTCGTGTCAGAGGAGTGCTGACCAGTCTGACTCACACCTGTCTCCTATGAGACACAGAGCCAGCCCTGCTTCTGTGCAGGTGACTAAAGCCTGGTTTATGCTTCTCCGTCTGCTCCGCAAGGGACAGACACGCACGGATTGACGGAAGCGTTTTGCTCTCATACTTCTCCGTCTTCTGGAGAGTGTTGCAAAGCAATTCCTCGGCAGGACAACAAAGGGCGTTGCGCTGTTCTGTGGTATCCTGTCATGTATCGGTCCAGGATGGTGTGTTTATATTGTGTTTTTGTGTATATAAGAGACTTTTAACACGGACAAATTTGTCTCTCATTCTCCTCCACCTCATCATGCGCTCCCCACCTCTAAACCCACGTTTCCTGTCATTTCCGTTCACAAATAAAACGCTTGCTGCGTATCTTTTCACTCATCCAGTCACGGGGAATTCAACGTTGACATTTTTAGAGTTTTTTTCGTGAGGTGTTCTTCAAGCTTCTCCGTGTCTGCCGCTAGTTATCCTCGGTTCTCTTTATGTTTTTGAAGGCGCAATGGCGGCGGCGTAGATGACAGCGGTGCCCTGACCAGTCACGAGCTTGCATTCTCTGTCTCGTTCGACGGATGTTTAAAAAAAGTGGGCTCGACTCCGTACATATTTGCGTGCCTGCTGGGGCCCTACGCAAGGACAGATAATGGCGTTGCGTGTCCCCGCACTGACGCAGAAGCATGAATCAGCCTTAAGTCTGCGGTTGTGTTAGGAAAACTGTGGAGTTAGCACTGAAGCAGGAGACGCTGTATCCTCCCCAGCCTCAGGAATGTGGAGGCATGTAGGGTGCTCTTTGTAACGGTCACGTGTGTTTTAGCTCTTTGTAACACAAGAATGTCAAGGTGCTGCAACACAGTTAGCATGGGGGCTTTCACTCGTCAGCCCATGTTGATGGTCAGCCTGTTTACTTGGCAACAACAGAGGCTGACGAGCTTCCTCTGAATTGCACCATGATGGTGTCACCACTGTTTGTCTTGTCTGCAGCAGTTCCAGTTAAACATTATCGTTTAAAATCTCATGAAGCTAAGGCTACGGCCTGAGCTGTGAGGCCTGTAGACGTTGACTTGTAGGCCGAGGAAAGTAAAAAAACCTGCAAAGCAGGTATTCATGCCTTTTAGAGATCACTGTTGGCCTACTTGTCCAACTGGATACCCAGACTGCAAATAGTGGGTGTCTGTAGAGGAGGTTGTGAGGCAACAGCTGAAGAAAATTTCAGATAGAAAACTGTGAATGGCATGTTTTACCATCTGCATCAAGAAACCTTCAATTATTGTCTAAGTTTTGTATTCGAGAGCATACGAGCAGTGTGATTTAATAAAACAACAAACCACCCAATTACGTAAGAGTTGAATGTTCATAAACCACCCTGTTATGGCAGCTTTGGGCACATGGTACAGTGGTCTTAACTTATGTGTATGTGAATGTCTACGGGGTAAGTGGGGTAGACGGTAACCAACGCCTTTTGATTTTTGTAGAGCTCTGTTTGAGTACGACCGAACAAGAGACAGCTGCCTGCCCAGCCAAGGATTGAGTTTCACCTATGGGAACATCCTTCATGTGATTAATGCTTCTGATGACGAGTGGTGGCAGGCCAGGCTCGTCACACCTCATGGAGAGAGTGAGCAGATTGGGGTCATTCCCAGCAAGAAAAGGTACCACCGCAGTCCCCCAATCCTGACCTGTTCACAGTGAGACAAAGCTCCAGTGACGACTTAAAACACACAAATATATTTTTTTCTAGAGTGGAAAAGAAGGAGCGTGCCAGATTAAAAACGGTGAAGTTCCACGGCAGGACAGGCATGATTGAGTCTAATAGGGTAAGTGTGGAGGGCCAGCTGCTCCTCGCCCTGGTGGCTGAGCGGCGGTCCTCAAAGCTGCTGCAGGGCTCCCAGGGAGATAGCCTACTTCCTCCAGAATGTGGGGAAGAGACCAGCACCTGCTCACTGGAGCGAGCACTCCTTTTACTGTATAGGTTACAGCACAGAGAACCTAAGTCTTTGTGTCCCTCTCAGCTCCAGTTAACTGAGAGAAAGCCAGCAACTGTCAGAGGCTGTCAGATGTCATGTTTACACACCAGTTAGCTGTAATGCGAAGTTTGTGTTAAATATTTATTATGCAGGAGATTCTGTTTGTTGAAATGATGTTTAATTTGGTCAACAAACTCCTTCACATTGATGTGCCATTCAGTGTCACCCATTGCCTGCTTCTCATTCTCATTATTCGATGTATATTGTTTACATTTCATTTGTTTTGGTTTTATTTGTTTGCATGTTGAGTATTTTCATTGAAATCTAGTCTTTTTTTGTTTTCACCCTCTCATTGCCCCCCTCCCCCCTCTCACCCACACATCAACAAGCAGACAGTCAGAGTAAAGCGCAAAAAAAGCTTCAACCTCTCACGCAAGTTCCCGTTTTACAAGAGCAAGGAGAATATTGTGCAGGAGTTGGTGGAGTCTGAACGTGAGTATCAACTGTGTGATCGAGTGTGGGGTGGTGGGTGTTACCTTTTTTACCCCCTCCCACGTCCTTCCCCGTCATGCTTCAGTTCTGTCTCTCATCTTTCATCTTTCCACTCACCTCCGGGGATGGTTTGTGTGATGGCACCACTCATCCCTTTCTCACCATCCCAGAGAGATTTCCCCCCACACGCGCGAGAGCCAGCGTTGTCGGGCTGAAGATGTGGGGTTCCTCTCTGGGTGGGGAGGGGGCGCCGGCACATCGTCCAGAGGAGTGTGAAGCTGCGTGTGTGCTGCCTGCTGCTTTAGCAAGTTTGTGGCTGCATTAACACGCAGGCCTCGTTTAATCCTGATCAGTTCTCTGGTCGGTCGCTGACCCACAACAAGGAGAATGGTATTACTGGACTGGAGCTTTAACACTTAACAAGTCAAATCCCATTTTAATGGGATCGGGCTTGTGTAATTGTAAGGCAGAGGCTTACTATGAACAAAGTGGAGCTCCGACTTGATGAGTATGACAGCACCGTACGTCAGTGGGCTCACTCCTCTTCTTCTCTTTCCCCAATTCTCACTAACCTCTTCTTCCTGTCTGCTTTCTTCTCTTGGTTTCTGCTCTCACCTGTCGGGACACCTAGGACTTCCCAGGGTTAAGCGATGACTTTTATGGATCAAAGAGTTTGAGTAAGTGTGTGGTTATACTGTGTCAAGCAGCTGTCCCCAGAGAAAATGCTTTGTCACTGCAGGGCCCGGCAGGGCATGCAAAAAACCACACACATTTAGAGTGACACACACACACACACACACACGTCAGATCCACAGTACATACAAGAGAGGCGTTCATATAGAAGGGGAAAGGGAGGACACTTATTCCCACCTTCTCCCGGGGTTGCAGTGAGACTACGGCTACATTTCTAAGTGGAGTTCCTCCGAGTTGGCGCGCTCCTGCCGCACTCCGGCGAACACAGTGGCACTTGGATGTTTTCTTTGGTTTTCCTCTGTGAGATCTATCGCTACAGTCCCAGATCTGGCAATAGGAAACATTTGCCCAGGGAATTCTGGGTCGTTTGGGATACTGTCACAGGAAACACTTAATTTCCTATTGCTTGCACCTAAAACCACTTCCTAATATTTCAATAATGATGCTGCACCAAGCAAGACTTCTGCTTTTCTTTAATTCCTTTTTTTTTTTCAAACAACCCCATTGTTGAATGTTTTTTTTCTCTGACTGTGCAGACAGGTAAACATTTATTTAACCCATATAACATTATTCTAAATGTCTTTTAATGGTCCAAAGTTCTCCCTCTCTCCTTTACAGAATGCCTGACGTCCAACACAAGTGACAGTGAAAGTAGTTCAAGTGAGTTTGTTTCATGAATACCAGTAAATTATTTTAAAGGTGTGAAATAAATGAGTGGGTTACTATTTTGTGTGAATTCCCAAAGTGAAACATTAATGTTTTTGTCCTCTTCCAGAGGGCCAGGAGGATACAATCCTTTCCTATGAGCCAGTCATTAGACAGGAAAGTGAGTAGAATCATCTGTTCTCCATTAAATCACTTTTTCCTGCTTACACGTATTCTAACTGCCACCCCCCCTCTAGTCCACTACACACGGCCTGTGATCATTTTGGGCCCAATGAAGGACAGAGTAAATGATGACCTCATCTCCGAGTTTCCCCACAAGTTTGGCTCCTGTGTACCCCGTAAGTGCAACGCCTCCTCCTCATGGTGCACTAACGGAAGAGCAGTCACACAATAAACCTGCCTTCTCTGCCCTTCTCAGATACAACCCGTCCAAGGCGAGAGAACGAGATCGATGGCCAGGACTACCACTTCGTGGGCTCAAGGGAGCAAATGGAGAAAGACATTCAGGACAATAAATTTATTGAAGCTGGCCAGTTTAATGAGAACCTGTACGGGACAAGCATTTTGTCTGTCAGAACTGTGGCTGAGCGGGTAAGCATCCAGTCCTTCCACCATAGTGTTGGATTGATGTAGGAGTTCCTTTAGCTAGTCTCCTGAATCTTAAAAACGTGTCTATTTTCACTAATGTTTAACAACATTTTAGAAGCATCATCTAAGCCACAATCTCCAGGCCTTTCCACTGGGTGTGTAAGTGGTGCTTAACGTAATCGCTGCATTTTCCCATGAGCTCAGTGGCACGTCCGTTCCTATCAGGAGTGTTTCACGCAAAGGTGTTCCATGCAGCTGTTCCCACAATGTCAGAGAAAATTGTAAGACCACGTGAGATTTAGCCAGTTCATATGACAATCAAGAAGAAACATGACAGCATGAATCCAAAAAGGTCTGGTTTATTTTGTTCAGTTTACCTCGGCTACGAAGGTGTCGCAGGTAACGATGTCCTACTTTTTTTTTCTTGCTAAGCCAAGGTTTTTATTTTGAAAGTTTCTAGATGTTTTACGCTGCTTTCAGAGTTTGATGCGTTCTGAAAGTATGGCAGAAAAATGGCTCAAAGCCTCATTTTAGCAGAGCGACTCAACACCACTCTTCTGAGATGCATCCCAAACGCAACACTTCACAGCTGGTTGAAATGCACTCGTCTACTATAACAATGGCTAATGGCTAACTACACTTTGCAAATGATACACAAGGCTCACGCGTCCGGTGGAAAGGTCCAGGTAGTCCCTGAAAAATGTGTTGTGATGCACCCTAACAAAGTAATTTGTCATTGGTCTGGCAGCAAAGGAAGCACTGCATTCTGGATGTGTCTGGCAACGCCATCAAGCGGCTGCAGCAAGCACAACTTTATCCGATTGCTATCTTCATTAAACCAAAATCCATTGAAGCCCTAATGTGAGTAGTGTCCTGATCTGTAATCGTACGTCTGCGGTTCTGAGTATCTGTTAAAGCAACTGGTCATCACCATTTTCAGGGAGATGAATAAGAGGCAGACATACGAACAAGCCACTAAAGTATTCGACAAGGCGGTTAAGCTGGAGCAAGACTTTGGGGAGTATTTCACAGGTTGGTGTCACTGTGCTTTACTGTGGTTCATTCAGGAATAATCTCTCAGCTGGGTAAAGAACTGATGATATATTGAGATTTAAAGTTTTTAATGCCATGTGGACAAATACTGACACTTGTATGTTTTATCAGCTAACTCCACCTCATAAATGATCACAAATAGGATGCTACTCCAATGAAGACATTCTAAATTGAATTCACAGAACCAAGTTCTTAAGTTTGATCCAAGTAACTATAGTTTCTGAAACGATAACTAAAGTGTAGTTAAATTAGCTGTTTGGGTAGCCTCTGATTCGTCTCTCGTGTGTGTTTGCTTTCAGCTATTGTACAGTGTGACTCGCTAGAGGAGATCTACAACAAAATCAAGGAAATCATTGAGGAGCAGTCTGGGCCCTACATCTGGATTCCCTCCTCAGAGAAGCTCTGAGCTCCCTGCCGTCCCCTCTGTGTCGAAGCAGAGCTTCCCTCTGGCCTCCCAGACACCCCACCAACACCCACATGGCCCCCGCTCCTCACCCTCTTTTTACAGATATGTTTCATATCAAGTTTTAGTGTCATCATTATGTTACTCTCTAAATGAAAAAAGAAGTCTTATCGCCATTACTGTGACTGTGCACCCCCCTGCATGATTTCTCAACAAAATCCATTCAAGACTGGAATTGCCATTCCAAAGAAATTAGTCAAACAAAAACAAAAGGAAAACCAAATAAGTCCTTTTGTGAACTGAGACTGCCTAAAGATCAGACGGTGGCGCAGAAGTCAGGAGAGAGGAGTTGTGGTTGCAAAATGAAGTTGCAGGGGAACAGAGACCAATCATACCAAGTTGGAACACTTTGTAAATGTTCATCAAAATCACATTTAAAGACACCAGATGAGAGGTGGAAGATCAACTACCGTTTTGTTTTTAGTTAGTGGGCTTATTTTTCTTTTTTGTTTGTCTATTTTTTGATGACTGGATAAAATGGAGCCCTGCTGATGGTACTGTTCCTGTTCGTGGAGTCATCACTCTTGTTTATACTGACTGAGGAAATAAGTGGAAGAGCCTAACCAACTGGTGATGCGTTTATCTCAGACCAGCTTGCTGTTTGGTTGTCTGCGCTGATAAAGACATCACAAGAGGCAGATCCAGAGGAAGAAACGTGTTGTGAATCTCTACATTTATATTATAAAATCACAAGTTAAATCATTCTGAGATTTTACAACATTAAGAATACTCTACATTTTACACTTAACTAGAATTGTCAATTTGGAGGGCTGTTAATTTTTTCTTGTATTTTTTTATTTAATATTTGTGGTTTTTAGCTGCTCTGTAAAGGATGGGGGTAGAGAAGTGTAACTGGGATCTCTGCAAAACACCAAACTGCCTTACATCTAATACAAATTCTGTTTTGTGACTACCTGTTGTCTGTGAGGAAGGGAGGCTGCAACATTTGATGAGGAAGAGATCATTTTGTGTCCTTTAGCTGTCAGCAGCTCTGACATTAAGTGCAATAGATTTTAAAATCCAGCCCAGGTGGGCTCTTTTGGTTTCTTCTTTTTAAACATTCTACCTGTGTGATTAAATAATTAGGCTTTTTACAATTTGGACAGCCAGAGCCTCCTAATTCCTGTAGAGCAGCAGACGACCCTCTTACACTCTCTGCCTTCCTAGAGGATTTTCTCCTGATTCGTCACATGGTACTGTCCTATCTGCCACCACTGTGGTGGACTTAAAACGGGTAGAACAAGACAACAGTTGTATTGGATGTTTTAACGATTAAAGAGTCGGTATTACCTGTTTGAAATTGTCCCCCTGCCAAAAACACTAAAGTTGGATTTGAGTAAACCTTCATTCTTTGTCTATCTATAAACTTATGAATTCTTTTGACACGTTGACAAATACTGAACCACTGTGTTGACCTCGTGATTCTGGGCTGAGAGACCAGCTCAGGAATTTTAACGTCCAGATACCAGTTCCCCCTGTGATTGAGTGGCCATTTTTGGGGGGGGGTGTTGGAGGAAGGCACTGCCACTTAGTGAAAGGTGTTTACAGCTGGGTTGTGTTGACTGGTTGGGCTGAGAGCTCGATCACGTCCATCAGTTTGGTAACTTTTGAGTTTGCGCGTGGCATCGTTGATTGAAATGACCTGCTGCACACGTTAGTGGAGATCCTGGCGTTGTGTGTAAACACGTGGATGTTGTAAGGTACATGAGGGAGAGGAGTGCTGTGAGGAGATCCAGGAATATTCTTTCTTAATCAGATCTTTGAAGACTGCAAAGGGATTTTTTTCTCTTTAGACCCAATGAGAAGTGTTTACCCAGACTTCTGGGTCTCTTACACTCTCCTGCCCACCCATAGAGCACCTGTACCCGCAGGTGTGATCAGGTGTGCCCATCTGCCAGGCACCACTGCTAAACCAGCTGTCATTACCTGTGTCAAAACCAGAGTTCAGGGAATAACCGAAGGGAACAGAGCCATTTATAAGCCGCTTGCAGACTGTTTCAAAACGGTGTGGTAGCTGAACAATGTAAATAAGCCCCCAGTGGATCCCCTCCCCCCAATCCCCTCACCTGTGCTTCGTGCATGTGTGACTCAAACTGGAACTAACATGTTTTATAGATCACAAATGTCAGGTAAGTAAAGTTTGAGCTACTCTTTGAGATATAATTTCCATACAAATGTGCTGTAATGTCGATATTTCTCTTCAAATGCCTATTGGAACACTTAACTAGTGAGATGGGAACCCAGTTCCCACAAGTAGGGCCTGTCTACATGTGACTTCTTGTGGAACGTGTCTGGGTGTATAGATTTAAAAAGAAAAAGATATATATATATATATATTGTAAAATAAAATGATGCAGGCAGAAACCTACACAGCATCACAGAAACCAGGAGCATTGATTCATCATTAGAAGTTTAGGACTGGTCCTCTGGTGTTTAGTTGAAACACAGCTGACTGTTAAAAACGTGCGTGGTATTCATACCTCGGTCAGCCATGTCAAAGCCCAAAGAACTTGATTTCATTTTACTCTTTCCATTGAGGTGGAGGTGAAGAGATGGAACCTGAATGCCTCTGTGTGTAACTGATGAGGGTCGTTCTGATGAGAGAAATAATGACATGCTTTTATTTTATGGGTGGGGTAGGTTTCAGGGTTCTTGTTTGTACTTTTGGGTGATGATGTTTCTGTTCTAGCACACATGTGCAGTAAGTGCTTGCAAACATGAACCCTTTGATTGTACAGTAGTTTCCTTCCTGTCACTGCAGGTGGTGCAGCCTATCAGGACACTCGGCCTCATGGTCTTCCCTGTCCTAGTCATGAGGGAATGCAGTCCTGCAACTTTTTGTTTGGGGTTTATTTTGGGACTTGACAAGAGTTTATTTGTTTGAAAATAAAATATGTGACTCAGTTATGATTTGGATGTGCTTGTTATTCCGGTTTGAGCAGCTTTGGCTCGGGCTTGAAAGTCAAATCATTGCAAACTACAATTTTAAGAGTTTGTATTTTTTTTAATCAGGAAAGCATTACGATGGGTTTGCAGTAAAACATTTTGACATTAACAAAGAACAGGAAAAGGTGCCGTTAACAAACTTAATTAACTCGGCTGAAGTTTAGACTCGGAACACAGTTGATCATCCAGATGGGAACCATTGACCTGGCCTTTTAGTTTTCCATGGTGTTCTTTTTTGCTTTGTCCAGTTGGTCCAGGATTTTACTGTAGAGATCCGACATCTGCACACAAACATCTGCATTAGATAAAACCTCTATGTCGCACAAGAAACATCTGTTCCTTTTGAAAAGAGGAAAATACATTTGTCTTAAAGGATACGGTTAACAGATTTCATCTTAATGCTAAAGCAGTGTTCTGGTTGGCAACACTGACTTTCACGCTGAATGTGGAATGGATGCAGTCTGTTTAGGTCAATGATCGTTGTGTCCAATCAGAGCATTTACACCAGCTGCAGTGCAGAGCTCTAGAGACTCTCTGTATGGACACTGCATGCAGATTGTCAAAGTTAAGAAATGACCTTAGCCAGTAAGGGAGAGCGATGTACATTCGGTATATTTCCAAATTAATCTCATGTTGCATTATTTTATCCGGCTTTAGTTTTATTATTGACCGAGACATAATATTTCACCTTATTTTTACAGGTATATTTACCAAATTTCTAATCATTTGGTGCTCATGTGGGTTAGGGTTAGGGCTCGCTAACTGCACCTGTGGGTGCAGGAACAAAGCCTGCTTGGTGCAACTACAGGAGAGGTCACCTTAAGAGCTCCTGCCAGTTTCCTGTTTTGGTGAGGCCTTTTAGAGGCTGCTTTTAATTTTAAAAATGCCCCTAAACCTCAGAAATATAATCAGTCTCTTATATCTTGCCATTTCATGAGTCGAGCCGTAACATAAATGGGGGCTCATCCGGAATATGTCAAACCGTTGGAGACTAAACGAGCCGGGTCATAACAACCATAATGTTTACCTGTGCCTCGTAGCTCTCCCGCAGAAATCCCAAATGATGGACAAAGCTCATAGCCAGACCACACCACTTCTCAGCCTCCATGTACTGGTTCAAACTGTACAGCATTATGCCAGTGTTCCAGGCCTGAGTCAGGAGCCACAGGGTCTCCATCTCTGGGAAGACATCCGGCTGCATAGGAGGCAGGAAGATGTTCAAAAGGCCATTTAACGGGGCCACCTGGGTGACTCAATTCACAAAGTTGTCTTTAGAACGACGGAACAGCAAGAAGGCAAGTAAACTTTCATCAAATCCTGTGCTGGTTGTGTTAACCTTTTACTATCACTGGAACAGGAAAGAAAAATGTGAATTGACTCATTTTTATTTTTATTTTCTCCATTCTGATTCCCCAACACTTAAAGCTTGTCCCTTTACTTTGATCCAAAGAATTAAACAGCTTTCAAGTGAGAACTCCCTCTGAAAGGGGAAATACGTGCTGCCTCAAAAGGAGCATGATGTCTGAATAATTCCACATCTCAGAGCTGCAGCTCACCGGCAGTGTGATGATTTGTACGGCATATTAACATTGAAACTGGCAGGAAGGGGCGGTGAATGGAAGCCTCTGCTAATTGAACTGCAGCTGAAAGCCCATTGATTTAAAAATAAATAAATAAAGGAGAAGGAGAGAGATTTCTAGAAGAGAAGGCAGCCATGGTGTGAAAGAGAGGGCTTAATTACATAGCACGACACATTTCTGTTGGAGAAAATGGGAGGTGGGAGCCGAGGGATGTCTGTGTGTGATTGGTGCCGACCCACTGCAGCTGATATGATGGACAGGGCCTCCTCGAAGTAGTCCCACACCTCAGCCAGCGCACGGGCCTCCACCTCTGCCACCCCACTCGGGAGGGACAGCTTGATCAGGTCATGAATGCACTTGCTATGACAGAGACAAGCCGCACAATCAGAAACAACCTCCACCCCAGTAACTTAGAGGAAATGATGAGGGTGGTGTATGTTTGTGGTGTAGTGGTGCCTGCAGTGGGCCAGATCAGGCTGGGACTGCTTCTTGTGCAGAGAGAGAGCAATTCTCAGAGCCTTCTTACACAGTCGAGGGAAGTAGGCAGGAGCTTCCATGGCCAAGGCTTTGTTTAGGGGGCGATATGAGAGCATGCGGTAAATACTACCAAGAACTACAAATATGTCTGATAAGGACAGATGATGCATGTTCTTACCCGCCATGGTCTCTAACACTTTGGCTTCAACGTTTTCAAGCTCCAGTACGGACTCAAGTATCACCTCAACTTTTGTGTCATTCAGCTTGGCGCGAGTTTCAAATTCATACAGCAGCAGGAGTGACTCTGTGGGGTCTGATGGAAAGCTTTCTATAAAAACATGAGGACAAATGTTTAGTTTTTCATGAAGGGTTTATTTCTTCCAACTTCAGCCGCGTTCGATTTTAATTTCACCTGATGCTTTTAGGGTTTTCCAAACCTCCCAGCAGGTCTGAATGTACTCCAGAGCCTGAGTGAGCTCCTCCTCCACCTGTGAGCCAAACAAGAGGAGTGAGGATTCTGGATTCTCTGTCGCCATCTAGTGTTAAGTTCCTTATCAAAGGCAGAGAGGGATTAAACTGAAACGCCTACGCCTGCACCAGTAATGTGGTTAGTCACCTCTCCTCTCTGCTGGTCTTGGTAAATTTCCATCCTTTCTAATGGAGAGCGTGCTAAATGTATAGGATGGTGAGTGGGTGGCACACCTGGGCGGAGTAAGGAGAATTCCTGCAGAGCTCCAAAGAGGCGGCAGCGGCCATCAGCAGACAAGTCTTCTGGCCCATGAGCAGAACGCGGTCAGTAGGGCACAGCAGAGAGAGCTGAGAGGTCAAAGAGCAAAAACAAACAAATACATCTTGAATGCAACTTTAGTTAAACAAGATGGCATTTCCTGTATTTTACATCAGAATGGTGTTGGCTCTAAAACATTGCATAACTCATGGAATGCCAATGTGTTTGGGACTATTTTTATAGCCTGTGGTAATAATAACCATAATCCATTCTTTAATGGGTATTTTATTCATCAGTCTTCCAGTGAACATGTTTATTCCCACACTTGTAAAACCAAAAAAACAAAAAGGTTCATGTCAGACCATCTGCAGATGTTTGTTGTTTATATTTTACTTAACACTCCCACTGTCCTAATGGGTGTGACCCGGTGAGGAAAGCTGACCATTGAGCAGGACTGATGGTTTATCCCTTGGGTCCATGTGGCAGGGGTGAGGAGTGAGCACCACCTCACCCCTGCCACATGGACCCAAGGGATAAACCATCAGTCCTGCTCAATGGTCAGCTTTCCTCAACGGGTCACACCCATTAGGACAGTGGGAGGGTTAAAGTAAACCGGCTAAACCAACATCACATACAAAACCCACGATACAAATCTACTTGGATTTGATCTAACAAACTTCTGGTTAGAAAGTCAAGGGTGAGCAGTAAACATAATCATTATTCCCAAAGCAGCCTTTCATCCCGTTCAGGTGTCCTAATCTCCCTTCATGTACAGTAGATCATGATTAATTCTACCGACACACTTACCTGGTAAGACAGCACAAAGAAATCCCTCATTCTGTCAGGGCTGCCCTCACACTGCAGGGCTGAGTTCCAAGCTGCAACAACAACACAGGAGCCCACACACAGGTGACATGAGGGTGCTGCGAGAGGTCAGGTGATGCGTACCATGTTATGGAGTCAGTACCAGTCTTTCTGAACCAGTTAGCCGCCTCTATACGCTGCTCAGCAGCCATCTGAGACTGGCGTGAAAGTGTCTGCAGAGCTGTGATGATGACAAACATGTCAGAGTTAAATATGCAAAACACACTGCTTGCACCCAAATATTAAGTATACTCACCCATTTTTAAATATGGCAGCAAAACATCCAGATTCACATGCCTGCATTGATGAAGTGTGTTAAAACCTTCATTAATATATCAAATATGTTCGTGTTTCCTTTTTGCCTCACCTCCTTTCAGCTGATTCATCTGTGGTGGAGAACACGAGCCGAACCAAACACCTGTAAAAATATGAGGGAGACCTGGATCTAACCTCCTTTTTCCTCACCTACTAACATTATTATACATAGACACACTTTCTGAGAGGAAGTAGAAAATAGGTCAGTGGATCAGAGGTGAGTGGAAAAACTAACAGTTACTACAGTCCCAGAGAAACACCTAGCAAACATCACCTTATGTAAATAAATAATAATTACATTAGAAATGATTTTATTGAACAAACTACAACCCAAATTTATTCACACTAGCCACGTTTACATGCGCACATATAATCAGATTGAACGCCCAATCAGATTAAAAATTCTGCATGTAAACATGTCAATCAGAATGTTCTGATCCGATTCGGCCTGGTCTGAATGAAATTTCTATCTGACTGAGAGAGGTGGTTTTGTCCAATTATCATTCCGATTGACGTGCATGCACACAGCCATTCAGATTATTGGAGTAAAATAATGCCCACTGTGCATGTGTGCAACAGCTAGCGAGCCTCCCCGTCGTCATTTGGGCTGCCTGACTTAAAACCGTCACCTTATCGTGGTGGAGGAGTTTTGGGCCATTCCCATCTGTACCGGGTCGGCCCGGGCCGGGTAGCCCCAGTCGGCCCCAGCCTGGCCCGGTTGATTCCACACATCCTTGTCTTAAGCCCATGTGGGCTGATTCTACCCACCAATCAGAGGCTTGCTCTAATGGAAGGTGTGAATTTGCTGTCAGCAGTGGGTGTGTTGGCCCTGGTCGGCCTGAAGCAGACCCCCTCGAGAAGAGGGCTGAGAATGAGCCTTGGTTGGCCCGGAAAAATACCAGGCCACCCAGATATGTGAACAACCTACGCTACCCGGCCCGGGCCGACCCGGTACAGATGGGAATGGCCCATTTGAGTGCCGTAATGATCCTAGGAGCTATGTTGTCTGGGGCACTTTATGCTCCTGGTAGGGTCTCCCATGACAAATTGGTCTTAGGTGAAGGGTGAGACAAAGAAAAGTTCAGAAGATCTTTCATGGACGTAAAAACAAAGAGTCGGAGTACCCGGCCCGGAGGGTTACCGGGGTCCCACCCTGGAGCCAGGCCTGGGGTTGGGGCACGTGAGCGAGCGCCTGGTGGCCGGGCTTTCACCCATGGGGCCCGGCCAGGCCCAGCTCGAACCGGATACATGGGCTCATCCAACTGTGGGCCCACCACCCGCAGGAGGGACATGAAGGGTCCGGTGCAATGTGGATCGGGTAGCAGACCGAGGAGGGAGCCTTGGCGGTCCGATCCTCGGACAAGGAAACTGGTTTTTGGGACATGGAACATCACCTCGCTGGCGGGGAAGGAGCAGGAGCTTGTGGCAGAGGTTGAGCGGTACCGGCTAGATATAGTCGGACTCACCTCGACACATAGCATTGGCTCTGGAACCCAAGTCCTTGAGAGGGGTTGGACACTCTCCTTTGCTGGAGTTGGCTTTTTGTTAGCCCGGAGACTCTCTGCCTGTGTGTTGGGGTTTACCCCGGGGGACAAGAGGGTAGCTTCCCTGCGCCTTCGGGTCGGGGAACGGGTCCTGACTGTTGTTTGTGCTTATGCGCCAAATATCAGATCAGATTACCCACCCTTTTGGAGTCCCTGGGACGAGTGCTAGATAGTGCTCCATCAGGGGACTCCATTGTCCTGCTGGGGGACTTCAATGCTCACGTGGGCAATGACAGCTTGATCTGGAGGGGTGTGATTGGGAGGAATGGCCCACCTGATCTGAACTCAAGTGGTGTTTCGTTATTGGACTTCTGTGCAAGCCGCAGTTTGGCCATAACGAACACCATGTTCGAACATAAGGATGCCCATCGGTACACTTGGTACCAGCACAGCCTAGGTCACAGGTCAATGATAGACTTTGTAGTCGTATCATCTGACCTGCGGCCGTATGTTTTGGACACCCGAGTGAAGAGAGGAGTGGAGCTGTCAACTGATCACCACCTGGTGGTAAGTTGGATCAGATGGCAGGGGAAGATGCCGCGTAGACCTGGCAGACCCAAAAGCATAGTGAGGGTCTGCTGGGTACGCTTGGCAGAACAACCTGTCAAGATGGTCTTCAACTCCCACCTCCGGCAGAGCGTTGACCTCGTCCAGAGAGCAGTGGGGGACATCAACTCCGAGTGGGCCTTGTTCCACTCTGCGATTGTTGAGGCGGCTGTTGCTAGCTGTGGTCGCAAAGTGGCCGGAGCCAGTCGTGGTGGCAACCCCCATACCCGCTGGTGGACACCAGAGGTTCGGGGAGCCGTCAGGCTGAAAAGGGAGGCCTACAGGGTAGGGCTGCAACAAACGATTATTTGGATAATCGATTAATCGGATGGGGTCTCGACACGATTAATCGATTAATCGGATTACATGGGGAAATTTTTAAAAACTGCTAGGGAAACGTTATTTCTCTCCTTCCTTCACTTTATTTAACACAACATTATTAGAAAACAGTTCAATAGCAGAAAAACAACATGCCATCACCTAAATTGTCTTATAAAGTGTATAGACAGAGACCCTAAGCTACACCTATCTGTGACCTAAAATGCTTGGTCCAAGTTAAACAGCTTAAGGGCAATTCTCATCTGTTTTGTTTGATCTCATCTGTTGACATTTATTTTAAATGTAATTAAACATAGGCTGTGAATTAATCAAAATTGATCACTATTTCCAAAAATGACTGAAAAAATACCAAATAAAACAAAAGTAAATGAATGCCATCCTCCTTGCGATGATGCCCTGGGCAACTGCCATAAAGTCACATCAAGAAATGCTGCTGATCATTCCAATGATCCCAAATAGACTCACATTAGGCCACATGAAAGCAACTGAACCCAAAAATATATTAACCAGTATATAACTGCACTCTCACACAACACGCCTGCAGCAACAGTTAGGACTCCTCCCTCCCTTTTAAAAGCGTTTTTGCTTCCGAGGACATTGTGGTTGTAAAGCCACATGCTAGTAGTCTGGCCTCGGTGTGATCAACCAGTTTCTGCGGGAATGTGACGGCGGAACCAGGGCCAGATTAACACTTTGTTGTACCCTGGGCAACAATATTCAAAGGCTCCATCATCACGACCCAAGGATCACCATAACGTGGTCACATACAGAATATTTTACTGTAATATGCAGTAAATATACTCAATACTTGAATGCCTGACAACACGTAACCCACCCAGAGTAACCTTTGACCCACCTCGTGTGGACTGACCAATGAGGAGAGGGTCTTAACTTGAGGCCCTCTCTTCATTGGTCAGTCTGCATGAGACTGACTCTCAACTGACGTTCAGTCGTAGGCAGCGAAGCGTCTCTGTGCAGCGCAAAAGCCCGGGTGGACAGTTTGTTTAATGTAGGGTGATCATATTTCCATTTCCAAACAAGAGGACAGGGGATCTGTGCCTATGACGTCACACTATGGCAATGCCACACAAACCATGTTGGGACCCATTTTTTGTAAGAACTAAATTAATATCAGATTCTGCCAATAAAAGGGCTCTAAAACAATTCATATGTAAATATTTTGCATATTTAATGCAAAATCTCATTTTTATGCTTTAGTGCTGCAACAAGGTTTTATTAATAATAAATTATTATACCTTTTGTTTTACTACAGCATCGGTAAGCTTCCTGTGCACAGATTATTAAGGACGCTTGTTTCAGCTGGGAGATTAGACGATAGGATCAATGAAAAAATAAGTTGTCACACACTCCATGGAAACTTTCAGAGAATCCACAAATAGTGGCTTTCAAATGGTTTTGTTACTTTTTGCAAGTTTAGAAAAGAAGCAGATGAGACAGCATGTCTGATAATTTAGTTTTTCATCTGATAATATTAGAACATGTCAGTAATGTCTGAGGGGCTTTTATAAACACCGTATAACTAACACTCCTGGAGAGGGTATGAATTACACAGAGGCTTCTGGGGAGCCCAGTTATGGGGGGGGGGGGGCATTTTGCCTTGGCCCCCAAAATGTCTTGAAACGGCCCTGGGTGTGTGACTGAGTTTTGAAGGTGATCTGAATTCAGATGTATAAATATGACATGTGTATAACTTATTGTTTTTTACTGGTAAAAACGTGTAGTGGAGATAAATCTACCTACATTTTACTTTTCAACACTTTGTTTTGTTTTCTTGTTTTTATTTAACTATTTTCCTGTCCTGTCTGTCTCTCATCTTCCTGCATCTCCTCATAATTCTCCAGAAAATCTGTTGCCTGGATTCTTACCTTTTCACCTCATCAGTTACTTTTGAGCAGATCAAAGGGATCTCCTGACCGCAAAGCGCAGAGCGCGTTTTCGATGCTGCGTGAGGTGACATCACCACAGCACAGGTGATGAGCTCCGCAGTAGCGCGCTTCAGGCACAAATAAGACCGAAAATAGAGAACATGTGCAGACAAGAACGATTGTGTGCTAATTATAGTTTTTTCGTTGCGCCACTTTGAGAATGGAAGCAGCTGCCTGGATCGCTGCGCAACAATGCGGAACCGGTTCGCAGCAGCGCAAGTCTGCAGGCTCTCCCTCGCACTGATCTGCGGCTCTCCCTCACGCTGATCTGCGACTCTCCCTCGCGCTGATCTGCGGCTCTCCCTCGCGCTGATCTGCAGCTCTCCCTCGCGCTGATCTGACTTGCTCTGGTCTGCGCGCAACGGCGGGCGGGAAGGGGCGCTTTTGGAAGAGTTGTGCGACACAACGAATCGATGACGCAATTCGTTGCCAACGCTTTTAGTAATCGATTTTCATCGAATTTATCGATTCGTTGTTGCAGCCCTACTACAGGGCGTGATTGGACTGTGGGTCTCTGACGGCAGCAGACAAGTACCGGATAGCCAAGCGGGGTGCAGCAGTGGCAGTTGCCGAGGCAAAATCTCAGGCGTGGGAGGGGTTTGGTGAGGCCATGGAGAAAGACTATCGATCTGCACCAAAGAGGTTCTGGCAAATTGTCCAGCGCCTCAGGAGAGGGAGGCAGCAACTTGCTCACACTGTTTACAGTGGGGATGGGGAGCTGCTGACGT